TTTTTTTTTTTTTTTTTTTTTCATTTTTACGCGTAATATTTACTGGCCTGTAACATCTATATTTGAGTATATATTTTCTTAAAGCAAAAAGAAGAAAAAAATAAGAGATAGAATTAAAAAAAAATTTTTTTTCAAATTTTCAATTATTCATTCGCGCGAGAAAATTTGTGAAATAGATGCTACATGTTAATATATCTAATATTATTTTATATAAATTTCATCGTTTATATATGAGAATGCAAGAACTTATCTTCGTTATACATTGAAACAACGCTAAACCAGATATCGAGTAAACATCGATTAACGTGTAAAAACGAGAACGAAATATTTTCGATAATAATAAACCATAGAAAATTAAACGATATAATTGTGTTCGATAACGATATAATTTTGATCGCAATTGAAATAAAGAAACACAATCATCTTTCGTTTGATTTCTAATATAATGAAAGTACGCACCTTAATGATGAAGTAGAATATGTATAATGTACCACGACAGTTGTGATCTCGAGAGTACAAACACGTTTTAATACTGATAACTGCTACGTTAAAAACGTCTCCCGATATATCCTCGTTCATCCCTTGCCTTTCCCTCATAGTTTGCACTTCTAATTAACTTTCTGTTTTTGAAATTTCCACTATTTCTATTATTATCTATCGATATTCTTATACAAGTGTATATTTCTTCCTATAAACTTCGATTTTTTAACGTAATTATAATATAATATAATTTATAATTTCCAAAATGAACAGACTATTCGTGTTAGTTTAATAAAATTGTTATAAATTTTCGTATCTAATTCATTTAGAAATTATTCATCGCTGCTTATCGCAATTAAAAATTTGCAATGTTTACAAATAAAAAATATAAAAAAATTTTGAACGTTCAAATATTACATATTAGTCTATTCCTTCCCCCTTCATTTTTACTTCTCCTTCATCTTCTTCATCTTTTTAAATTATATAAAATTTAACCGCGATTTCAAGATTATAGGTATATATATATATACCTGCAAAAAGCATTTCTTCTTCGATGATTTTTTGACTTTCTAGTTTTTACGCAATTTACTAATATTTTTTTATCATATTGTCGATAAATAACGTAAAAATTAATATAAGTTAGATTACGCTTTATCTAATTAATATCTGTGAATAAGAATACTTTATATTTGTATGAAATAAGTTAATTATTACCTTATAATAGTAAAAAGAAATTAAACGATCCATCCCCTCGTGATTTATAGTTAACACTTATCGAACAATAATGATAAAATCATTTTTTCAACGAACCACCGATATTCATATGTTTTACCCGTTATAACGTAACTTGGTCGAATAACGCACATTCTAAAATTTTTCTTTAAATGAAAGACAGAAGAACGGTCACTTCGTTGATCAGTCAATCACGTGCTCGAACTACTTTCGGAAGTAAACGACTTTAAACGATCCCTTGCTCAAACGTATGTCGTAAGAATGTTAAACGCCAAGGTCCACAACTTTATGTAAAGAAGAAAAAAATTAGATTCGTAAAATCAGTTAAAAAAATCATTCTTTTATCTTATCGCAATAATTCTAAAACTAAAATTAAAGTTGTTGTTTAAGAAAAACTAGAACAAAATTACTGAAAGTACGTCGAAAAAATATACGGAAGAAACAAGCAGAAATATGATTAAATAAATGAAAAAGATAAAAA